CACACACACACACACACACACACACACACACACACACACACACACACTCCAAACCCTTCTTTTCACTTTGCAATAGCAACATGGTACATTAGATTGAAAGTCAGAAGAGCTGGTTCAATTATTTGGTTCAATTACTCCCTAAGGGTAGCGAGGTGGTGCAGTGGATAGAGCACTGGGTTTAGAATCAAGAAGATGAATCTTCCTGAATTCAAATCTGGCCTCAGACACTTATTAGCTGTATGACCCTGGGCAAGTCACTTAACTCCATTTGCCTCAGTTTTCTAATCTGTAAAATGAGCCGAAGAAGGAAATGGCAAACCATTCTAGCATCTTTGCCAAGAAAATCCCAAATGGGGCCACAATGAGTCAGAGGGGACTGAACAACAAAAATGATTTCCTATCTGTGTGACCTAGGGCAAATCATTTAATGTTCTTGAGCCTGTTTTCTCATCTGAAAAAGGACAGGAAGAGACTAAATGATTTCTAAGATCTCTTCCAAATCTATCTCAGAGATCCAGGCAGCATGACATAGTGGAAAGAGCACATGCGTTTCAGAGGACCTGGATTATAATACCTGTTCTACCATTCACTGTATATACTTTAAGTGACTGCTGTATGACCTTAACTGACTTTAATTCTCTAGGTCTCAGTTTCTTTCTCCATAAAATGAAGAGGTAGACTAAATAATTTCCTATTTTCCTCCCATCTCTAAGCTGTGATCATTTGCACTTCAATATTTGCCTTTGACCACACTTATTGGGGCACATATCTTACCTTACCAATAGAATCTAAGATTCTGGAGGGCTGGTACCATGCCTTTTTGTTTTGTTCTGTGTTTGTATTTGTATTCCTAGTGCCTAGAATAGTACCTTGCTTGTAGGTACAGTGATAAGAACTAGAGCTGTGATTTCATAGGTATAGGGAACTCCTGGGTGAGGAAACTTCCTCTACCAATGCAGGTTGGTACCTTTTCTGTAACTTCTCTGTAATTCTGTAATTATATGGGTCTTAGAGAGTTACCCAGAACAATAAGAGATTAAATTACTAGTTCAGGGTCATACAACCAGTATGTGGCCGAGGAAGGACCTAAGTCCAAGGATTCCTGGCTTTGGGTTCAATTTTC